TTTTAATTAACATGTACTATGTGTTGTACTCTGTTTTAGGTAGACAAGGGCAAGTACTGTTCCCAGAAAACAGTAGCTAATAAAATTATCTGTTGAACAAATGAATTAAGGAGCTAATTAGTGAGTTGATGCATCAGCACTACACCAGAATAGAGTGAGGAGTCCACCACTTGTGGGGACCCAGAAGATGTGTGTTCACTCTGAAATGACAGCCCCTATGTGAGCTTAGGAATGGAGAAGGAAAGAACAGGGCTGGTGACCCAGAACATCTACTCATCACAAAAACATGAGGCTATTTGGTCTGTTGACTTTTCAAAGTGAGGACAGCTTACAATTAAATCTTTCTGCTAAGGTAACAAGCCAACCCAGCAGGAGACAGACTTGAGCTATAAACTATCCCTTGATGGGGCAGGTTGCCAGCCTGTTCAGTGGTGGAGCAACGTGGTCCATCACAACTAGAAGGTCACTGCTGGTGTCGGCAGTTTGGTGTAGCTCCCCTCTCTCCCCTCATCCAGCTTAGCACTCAAGGAACACTGGAAGGGTAAACTCACCTGTCCCAGCCTCATATGCATGTGGGTCATTAGCCTAATCCCTCAGGGCCTCCATTTCTGATTTCATTCATTCTTTATTTAATCCAAAACAAAAAGGAAAAGAACCATTTCTGACACCATGTGTCATCTACATAAATAAAATCACACTTCTGTTTGCTTGTTTTTGTTTTTGTTTTTTTCTGCTTCTTAATGCATCAGGGGTGGGCAGAGATTGACAGATCTCCACCAACTGAGGATCCCAACTTAAGCCTTATTCCAGAGTTGTGACTTAAATATGAGGTATTCCTCCCAAAGGCCTGTGCTACAGGGATGTTTGGAGGTAAAATTATTGAATCATGAGCACCACAATCTATTTAGTTCGTCCTACTTTGAATGGACTGGGTGGCAACTGAGGGGCAGGTGGGGCATGGTTGGAGGAGGTGGGTCACTGAGGGAGTACCCTGGAAGGCTTCATCTTCCCTGTGCCCTGTCCCCTGGCTCTGCTTCCTGGACTCCATGTTCTGAGCGGCTTCCCTCTACCACCCCTTTTGCCATGATTTTCTGCCTCCCCTTGGGCCCAAAGCAAGGGCTGGCTGACCATAAACTAAAACCTCTGGAACTGTGAGCCAAGATAAACTAACCTAATCCGGCTCAGTGTTTCTCACGCTGTGATGCTTCCACCACCCGCCTTGTGCGCCATGATTAGGAGCTGGATGGAGCCTGGCTTTCCACATTTATACTCTGCTCTGAGTTTCAATGCTGGTGGTCCTCCAACCCTACCTGGAGTTAGAGGCTCAGGCTCCCAGGTGAACAGCACAGAGTGACCCCATCATTTACATAACTGCAGTTGAGAATTCCCAGAGCAATTCCTGGTCTGGCAGACACATCCAATAAAGGAAGCCCAGACTATAGAAGAAAAAAAAAAAAAAACCCTTTCAAACACTAGCATCCCTATTCCTCTAAAGCAGGGATTCCAGCTTTGGCTACAATTAGAATCACATGGGGAATTTTAAATGTCCCAGTGCCTGGGCCCCACCCCAGACCAGTGACATCAGCGTCTCCAGGGTGAGACCCAGGCGTCAGTGTGTTGTAAGCTCCCCAGATGATTCCAATGTGCAGCCAGGGTTGAGACGGGCTCCCCTAAAGCAACGTTCACCATGAGTCACTGGTATTGGCTGTCTTCTCTCTTTAAACTTTTCTGAACGTTTCCTAATATTTTCTATATTGTCATCAAGTATGTATTTGACTCAACTGACTTGTGTTTTACAGGTCACTCACTATCTTAAGCTCATCAAGTATTTCACTAAGACTGGAAGATATGAATATAGCATTGATTTATATAAGACAATTAGAGAATAGCTGTGCTTAACTGAGGCATACTGTTAGAATAAAATAATTTAACAAAAGGGAGGGCTATATAAGCCAGACCCTGAAGAATGAGAAGGATCTAGATATACAAGTGAGCAGATGAAAGGGCATTTACTGTGAAGGGGACTATGTGAGCCAGAACCCAAGAGCAGGAACTAGCTAGAGGGGGAGGGGCCAAGGGTGGGAGGGATGCTGAGTGAGCCAGGCCTGAGTGCAATAGTAACAGGAAAGCTGAGTGCATGCCGATTAAAAATGACCTTGCTTGTAAGGTGATACCCAATTTTCCCAGTGAAATATCTTTCAAGGAAAAGGTTAATATTCAACTAGATGCATAACCCTGTAAGGATGTAGATGAACTCATCAACACGCCTTCTTGCAGTATCCACTCACTAGAAAGCATGAGGTTACAGGGTGAGTTCTCCCAGAGCAGAAGCTGAGTCGGACTTTGTGGGGACAAAATGTTAACTAGACATCCGCATCTATGAAAGCAGAGAAAGAAGCCAGATTGAGCAGGGGAAGAAATTAAACTGTGATATAGTCCTAACAAAGATGCCACTGACCCTACAGGGAGCTCTGGAGTGAACATAGCCCACCAGAGTCATCCTCGGTGAAACCGGCACAATCAGGCCTCTCTACCTACATCACAATGGGTCACCAGATGTGAGCTGTCCCAAGAGGGAGACTTTGAGCTGGGGAGCTCTCTGCAGCTGAGGAAGCCCCCAAGGCACCAAAATCTGGGGAGCAAGTCCTTCCTTCAGGGCACCTGAGGAACACCTCTCTGCATCTAATGCATGTGCCTGTTTGCGGTCCCATCTCATGGAACATACCAATTCTGCTTTTCTCCGTATGTATCACCATTAGCACTTACAGCCATACTTTGAGTCATCCACCAGAGTGTGACAGAGTGCATCATCTTCACGTTACGGGCACAGCTTCACTCCCTGTGTGAAGCTGTTTGATCTGAGCTTCAGTTTTGTCAGTTCCGTCCCCTTAGCTCAGTTGTGTTTTCACTTTCTTGTGTTTTTTTTCTCACGATCTCTACAAAGTAACTCCTTAGTGTATTTTTCTACTGATCTTTTAAAAAAAGAAGTGAGGTTGTATCCCCTGAAGTAATTGCTAGGCCAAGTTAAATTCCTTTACCTACTTTTTTTTTTTTTCAATCTAACAGGTAACCTCAATAAGCATTCCAAACTAGCAATGATTACACTCTGCCTTCCCCAAGCAGTGGATTTTGTTATTGTTTTTCCAAATAGTTGAGAAATGCCCTAATATAGGTGCTCCTTACCAAAGGCACCAAACTTCTTGAAGAATAATGTAAAAAGTTACTTTCCTTGGTATTGACCAAGAGAAAGAAATATTGACTAATATTTTGGCTATAAATGGCAAGTTTGAGCAGTTGACAGGAAGTTGGGTCCCTGAAGCTTTGAAGACCAAGGAGCAAGCTTTAGATGGTAAGTCACTGTGGTTATGGAGCAGAGAAGTAGCTGTATAAACGTCATCTTGGAAAACTGTGCAGCTAAAAAAATTTTAAAGATATATTTGGGGAAATATTTTGGAAATAAGAAAGTTATCTAACTTTTATTATCAGATGTGATATAGCTTGGTGCAGAAAAGAAAGAAAAAGAAGGGAATGGAAAAGCATTTCTTAAAAAAAAAATGAACATCATTGGCTGAGGCCATGGTAATCTTCTTCGTATTGTTCCAATATAAAAAGGACTTAAAAACAGCATACTACAGGGACACAGCCACATCAATGTTTGTAGCAGCACAATTCATAATAGCTAAACTGTGGAACCAACCTAGATGCCCCTCAGTAGATGAATGGATAGAGAAAATGTGGTATATATACACAATGGAATATTACTCAGCAATAAAAGAGAATAAAATCATGGCATTTGCAGGTAAATGGATAGAGATAATGCTAAATGAAGTTAGCCAATCCCCAAAAAGCCAAATGCTGAATGTTTTCTCTGATATAAGGAGGCTGATTCATAGTGGGGTAGGGAGAGGGAGCATGGGAGGAATAGATGAACTCTAGATAGGGCAGAAGGATGGGAGGGAAAAGCATGGGGGTAAAAAAGATGGTGGAATGAGATGGACATCATTACCCTAAATACATGTATGAAGACATGAATGGTGTGAATATACTTTATATACAACCAGAGATATGAAAAATTGTGCTCTATATGTGTAATATGAATTGTAATGCATTCTGTTGCCATATACAACAAATTAGAATTTAAAAAAAGTTGGAGGTGTGCTGAGTGATGGGAGAGAAAGTGAAGAGTCAAAAAGAACCTGAGAGGAACACATCAAATAGGTAATTGCTCTCCCCGAGAAATGGTTTCATATCATTTTATAACTATAAACTTCTAGTTGATTTTTTTTTTTTTTTGTACTGGGGATTGAACTCAGGGGCACTTGACCACTGAGCCACATCCCCAGCCTTATTTTGTATTTTATTTAGAGACAGGGTCTCACTGAGTTGTTTAGTGCCTCACTTTTCTGAGTCTGATTTTGAACTCAGGATTCTCCTGCCTCAGCCTCCCAAGCCACTGGGATTACAGGCATGTGCCGCTGCACCCGGCTAGTTGATATATTTCTTGGAGAGGTTTTAGGTCACCAGTGCAAAAGCCAGGAGACACAGTGCTGAGTTCCATGCCCACTCACTTGCCCCAACACTGGCTTTTTGTCAAAAAACAAACTCAGATTTTTTTTTTCTCTACTGTCAGCACTGACCATTGGGTAATATAGAAACACAAGACATTGCGGGAGCCCAAACTGCTTTGCAGCCTCTGCACTGAGAACTGTCAGAAGCTCCTCACCACCCCATGTTACCACCCTCCTGGGTCAATTACTATGACCACAATGAGAGAAGTTTCCACTTTGGAACCCCGATGTTGACACCTTTTTAGTACTTTGATTTCTACATAGTTGATGTTCTATCTGCTCTGTATATAGTAGATATTCTATAGGAATGTAGGCCTTAATTAGATGGGTGACTAGTTGGTTAGTACTGAATACAGAAATCCAAGCTGCCTTCTGAACTGCTTGCAAGCTGAACCCTGGTGCTTCTCAGACTTCAGTGTGAATGGGAATTACCTGGAGGCGCTTATTAAAATTCAGGTTCTGGGGTTGGGGATGTAGTTCAATGGTAGAGTACTTCTTAGCATGGGTGAGGTCCTGGGTTCCATTCCTAGTATCAGAAAAGAAAAATCAGATTCGGATTCAGAAGACCTGGGCTGGCTGGAGTCATGGAGTTTGCATTCTTAGTCTGATGCTGCTCAAGGAAGGATCCCTGGGTGTAGAAGGTCTGCTTGCACACAGGAGCTGGGAGCCACTAGGGACTGACCTCACCAGGAAGTATGCATGCACATGTTGCAGATTAGTGAGTTCTTCATGGTGGATTCAGGAAAACCAGGGAGCTAAATGTAATAGGGACTTCAGAGCAGGTAGACACACTCTAAACTGACAGGAGAAGCTGGAAGGCCAGGGCTTGAAGTGCAAAATTATAGGAGGTGGGAGAGCTAGGGAAGCCAGCAAAGCAACTATCAGTCAGCTGCCTCTCAGAGGAGGTTAGGAGGGGCACCAATTTGGGCAAGAATGAGGACTATTTTATTATGGAGAACTCCTTAATTATGCAGTTAGAGAACTGTGTGTGGTGCATTCCAGGGCCTACACTGCTCTCATAAGGATTCCACTGTTAATTTAAAAAAGAGAAATAGCAATGCAACTTTCTCAACTCCCACGCCATTCACACATTGACTTTGTGTGCCAACTCAAAGCATACCCACTGGAAATGAAAACAGAGTCAAAGCCAACCCTCAAACTGAATCTTGTCAAGCCGCAGATTTACAGAAGGACTTTGTTTTCTTTCTCTCCTTTCAAAACAAATTTTTCTTTCTGACATTTAAAAAAACTACATATTTGTTAAACCAAAAATGCCAGGTCTCAAGTCCTTAACGACGAAGGCCCTCCGTCAGTGTTTGATCATTATTATAGGTGGTCTCGTGCACATTTGCACAGTATCGGGTATGAAGACCTTTGTGAATATACCCACACCTGGATGCTTCCAGATTTGGTCCCTCCTTTTGGAAATATAAGCAGCCAACATGAATGGAACTATTAGGCCAGAGAATCTCAGTGGAGCCAATGGAGATGGTGCACCAATGAGATGCAAATCTGACCCCTAATAGGTGGCCACTCCAGGCAACTTTGTTCTGGTGGAACAGCAAACTAGAGGGCAAAGGCTTCAAATTCTCATGAGAGGGACTCTCTGGAAGAAAAATATTATGTATCCAACACAAATACATACATCACACACACCCCTGAAACAAGAGCTTTATGAAATCATAATGACATAGTCACCCCTGCTTGTGAATGTTGGTCTCTTCAAAAAGTCATTCAGACTAGACCACATTTTTTTTTCACAGTATTTTCATTAACAAAATAACTAAATAGAACTTTTCTTTGATCTCACAATGTTCTAAGGTACTATTTTAATAATTCCTTTTCCTTCATCATTCCCATGGAAGGCACTCCTCTAGTTCCTCTCCTTACCAACACATTTTACTCTTGCCTTTTAAACCCTGGGGAAGCAATTAACACAATGATGGTAGCATAGATTCACCTCCACTCTCTGTGTGATCTTGGGCCAGTTCCTTAGCCTCTCTGTGTCTCAGTTTCCTGTGAAAGGATAATGATAATAATAAGACTGCCTGATAGGGTGGCTGTGGGGATTTAGCCTGCCAATAGAGAGCACAGAGGAAGACACCTGCTACCACAATTGTTGTTATTTCTCAAACCCTATCCTCTGGAGGGGGCGCCCAGCTTGATCCCCCAACACATGCCTTGAACATTGGCAGCATCTTTTCCCATCTGCTGACACTCATGCTACATGCCACCTGCATTTTTCTGACCTCTGGCATTACCATTTTAAGTTTTCCAATTTGTTTACAACGCTTCTAAAATGTATTAGTTAACATAAATGATTTCAGAAGTTACTAAGTCAACTTTAGATATTACTTAATCACAAGTGGTGATAAAAAGAAAAAAACTTCAACTTTTACCCCAGGAGATACACACACACACACACACACACACACTCACACACACACACACACACACATATATGTATATTTTTTTTTTCCCAAAAGAAAAGTGTTTTGGACATTGTATTACTCATGAACATTCTATCATTCACACACTCATTGGTGGTGGCAATTGAAGGAAACAATTGAAGGCCTTACAGTTCCTTTAAGCAGGGAAAATCCATGGGAAAAGGGCATGCTCACTGCACATACAGATGGATTTTTTTCTGGTGTTTTATGAGTACATTCTTTTACCATACAATTAAGGTCACTATGTACCCCAGGCTATATTGCAGGGCTCATGGTCAGGTGCTTTTAACAAGATGTTTCCCTCTTCCGTTTTGCTCCAAAATGTTGTTATGGGGCTGGAAGCCTAGAGAAGCATGTTTGTTAAAGGAATGAATAAATTTCTTAGATTCCATTAATGAATTCTTAATGAATAAATGGCATGCACTTTGGTGCCTGTGTTTAGGGACATTTTTTCTGGTTGCTCTGGGGACAGTGCTCTTCAACTGTGTTTCACATAATTGCTATTACCCAAAAAGGGCATCTTGATAAGTCAGGTTTTATGATACCCTGTTCTCAGGCCATTTCCCGAGTGTGCAGAGTTTCTTTCCAAACTGATTCTAAGCAGAGTACAGACACTATGTTTTGTTTTGTTTTTTCATTTCATTTATTCATTCTTCCAACAACAACAAAGAAATCACCAAGCACCCGACATTCCAGGCATTATGCCAGGTGACAAAAAGAATTCCAAGAGTATGTACATGGGATTTTTATAGTTGTCAAAGTGCTTTTGGGTAAATCATCTCATTTAGTCTCTAAACTCTGTGAAGCAGGTTACTTTATTCCTATTTTACAGATAAACGAAATTAGAAGATACAAAAGAAAAAGTAATGGGAAAAGAAAGAAGTATTTATTAACCGACCCAAATCCTGAACGTTCAGTCCCATCCATGTGTTTACAGAAGGACAGCTCACTCAAGAGCATGGAGCTTGCTCTATGAGCTACCTAGTATTTGCCCAGGCCAGCGCTGCATGCAGAAAGTCACTTAAACTCTTTGGAGGAAGATCATTTTGATGTTGGTGAGGTTTCAGGCCATCTCTTGGAAAGAGAGAAAGAGGATAATAATGAATTCCAGGAACCAGAAGAAAAGAGAAGATTAAAGACGCTGGGACTAGGAAGACCCATAAGAGACTAATGAGGTTTATTTCTGTCTGGGGAAAAAGACAGGCCAAGAGAAAGGATGGATGAGGTTAAAACGAGAGGCCACAGAGTGCAGACGGCAGAGACTTAAGATCCACGGACAGTTTCCAGGATGCAACGAACTGGCCTCAAGAAAAAGAAACTTTCTTCTTAAAGCTTTCATTAACAACTTCCAGCCTGCGAAATGGTTCCAGATTTCTGGCAGCTTTTTGAATTAGCTTCAGTCCCAATTTCAAAGCAGAAACTGTCCTAGATTCCTCTGTTTCTCAAAATGTCCCTTTTCTGCTGCTCAAAATATTCCTTATTGAAGATCTGCTGGGTGCTCAAAGATGGTGGCTTCACAGATCCATCAATGAGCCAAAGATTTGTTGGAGATCTGCTGTTTGCACACCATGGTGAGGAGTGGTGTGATGAGAAGGAACAGTGACAATACAGATAGGAGGCTGGGCTGACAGCGAACAGTGTGTGCTGGTGGAGAGGAACGCACTACATTTACCCTGCGTGACACCCGCTGATAGCAAGTTGTGCCTGAGTGGGAAGTTCTATTAAACAGAGAGGGTGGGGCCATATCACAAAAAATACCTGAGGAAGAAGGAGATTAGGTCAGAATCCTTTAATCAAAGCCTCACAGCACAAAGATATCCAAAAACTATTTGTTGAATGCATGCATGCATAAGTGACTTAAAATGAGCATATTGTCCCAGACCCAGGACAGTCTTAGATCAATCACTGGGTCAAAGAATGTCAAAACACCATTATGATATCCATATATTTGTAGGACCATTCTGAGATGATGGACAGAAAAAGGTGTAACATTTTCTCAATGATAATGAACTTTGGACTCACTAAATGTGATCACTTGGAATCATGGGAGGAGAAGTGGAAGAGACCAGAGCCTTGGGACATAAGAGGTCCACCATTCTAATTGCTGGAGTCACAGGAGATGATGAGTGGGAAAGAAAGAGCCTCTGTTCCAGTCACACTCTCCTCCTGCCTGAGAATGTTCCCAGGGAGAGTAGCCATGGAGGACATGGAGACTTAGGGAGCTGGTCTGCCTATGAGCCTGCTGCGTCATTCCTACTAAGGCCTCTTCTGTCAAGGAAAATCCTTGCTGAGGCTTAAATATTATGATTCTTCATGACTTCCTAACCCTAAAATGTTTTCTAGTGTGTCTTGTTTATCTCGATGGTATCAAAGACATAGGATGTGTAGGACATCTGTATAGTGAAAGTAAATTCGCTGGTTTCTGAAAATTAAACAGTCCTCCAGGTGAAGAATGTGCTGGCCCATGGAAGATGTCACCAACCACAGTCTTCAGCAAGGAAACCCCTTCAGAAAACTTCCTGGCTAGCACTATGGGAGTCTGTCATCTTATATTTCTCTCCCATTACTCCTCCTGCCTCTCTCTGAATCATCTCTTAAATTTGTCTCCCATTAAATTTGTCTGAACTTCTCTCAACCTCAGAGCAGTTGAAAAGAGCAAGGTGCTTCCTGCAAGTTCTTCCCCTTCCCACTGCATGGGGTTTAGGGGGTCTGGCAGGAAGAGGTGAGACCCTTCAGGAGAGTCCTATGCTGCTGTGATTTCTTGGTGCCATTTGACTGCACCATCGTTTAACCCTGACATAAATCAGCAGCTTCTCTGGATTCTGTGCTTCTTAACTGTATCAGTTAATTTTGCATTTTCTTCAGCCAATATAAAAGAAGGAGTTACCAGTGAAGACTTTAGAGATACTCATTGATGTCAAATCCGAAGCCTGTCATTCAAGTTGCATCGACTTTAGGATCTAGTGAGGTATCCCAGAAGCCATTGGCCTCACAAGCCCATGCTTTGTAAAGTGTGTTCTCAAAGTGGGGTGAAATAGCGGAGAGATTGAGGAAGAAGAGGGAAGAGCAAGCCAAG